ATTTCTAAATTATTGTAGCATTCCATATTTTACACAGATTATATATGTGTGTACATGTGTGTGTATATACACATGTATGAATGTAAATTTATGTATATGTATATGCACATGTGTCTATGTATGTGCATATATACATTTAAGTATCTATGTTAAATCTTAAGTACTGTGATATATCCATTACTATAGATATAATACATAGTATATGTAATATGTTGTATGATAGTGCTACTGTATGTGTATATATATATAAATTATACATCCATTTGCATGTTAAGTTTTATATGTACTACAAATATGAATACATATAAATATAAGTATACACATATTCATACATGTATTATATACTTTTGCAAGTTATATATGTGTATATATACATATACACATTATACATAGGTTTGCAGATTGTTTTATATATAAAGTATATAAAATATAAATGTATACACATATATGATATGCATACTTTTATAGGCTAAGTTACACACACATAAGAGTATATACATATATCACATAGACTTTGCAGGCTAAGTTTTAAATATATTATGTATGTATGTATACATACATGCATTACACAGACTTTTGCAGGCTATGTTTTATATACAAATATATCATGAATATATACATACATATATATTATATAGACTTTTGAAAGCTAAGTTTTAGAGTTATTACACATGTGTATACATACATTATATATACTTTGTAGACTAAGTTTTAGATATATGGAATGTGTGTACATATATATTACATGGACTTTTGCAAGCTATGTATATTATATATATACATACACATGGACATTATATAGACTTTTGCAGGCTAAGATTTATATATTACATATGTGTATATACATGTGTGCATTGCATAGACTTTGCAGGCTAAATGTTAGATATATTACACATGTGTATATATGTACATTACATAGATTTATTACATTACATAGATTTTTTGCAGTCTCTGTCCATACAGCCAAAAATCCACCCAAATTGCAAAGTGAGTGATCTGTTTTCCAGCTTTCAACACGGCCAGTGGACCATGCAAGTTCCTCGGGCTCACTCTGCACTTTTTATGCCATATCCCTCTTGGGAATGACTTGTAGGCAGCATGGGAAAAGTAAATAGCATGAGTTCCAAAGCTCATCAAGCAGAAAGTTGTAAGACACAGCAGCACACACTGCCTGAAACAAAGCTACTTGAACTCCCAATGCTTCACACTCTGGATTTTTCTTCCCTTTGTCCTAGAGAGCTAGATGAAAAAGACAAGGTCCTAAAGTAAGGGGGTTGGACTAGATCTCTGAGGTCCCTCACAACTCTAAAATCCCATGGTAATAGTAAGTTCACATTTATAGAGCATTTTACCGTTTGCAATACGTGTTATCTGATTTGATCTTCACAGAAACTCTGGGAGATAGCTGCTATTATCATTCCCATTTTACGGATGCAGAAACTGAGGCTTGAGAGGTTGAGTACCTTGCCCAGACTTCAAGGGTGTGCAGAGAGCCAGCTTATACTAGCTCTCAAGTAGAATTAAATATCAGCATTTATTCCTCTGAAATTTGCTAATACTGCAAATCAGGCTTAATGTACTATTTGTTGATTTCTAGACTTTAAAAAGCGATTCTAGCTCTGGCATTCTGTGATTCCATGAGATCAAAGGAGATAACACAAATGCTTTGCAAAATTAAAAACACTATATGAATAATAACTATGATTATTTTTAGCTAATTGGGATGAATTAGAACTTGAGGGAGTTCATGGCCTTGAGAGCATTCTATGCCTTTTTCTATAGTATCTCTACCACAAATTCATCAAATAGGTAACAATGTTTTTCGTGTTTGGGAACAATCATCTTTCAGGAAGGGCATGCTGGAGCCAGCTCATATCAGCTCATGAGAGTCAATTGTTGAATTTTCAGTGTCAGTCAATTTGGGGCAGCTAGGTAACACAATAGGTAGAGCCTAGAGTCAGGAAGACCTGAGTTCAAATTCGACCTCAAATATTTACTAGCTGTGTGACCCTTGACAAGTTACTTTACCTCTGTTTGCCTCAATTTGCTCATCTGTAAAATGGGAATAATAATAGCACCTATCTCCCAGGGCTGTTGTGAGGAAGAAATAATAATTATAAAACACTTAGTGCCTTTACACAGTGCCTTTACTACAGTGCCTGGCACATAAGAAGTGCTTACATAAATGTCAATTTTGATTATTAATAATAAACATTTATTAACTACTAACTATGTGTACAGAGCTAAGCACTGCACATTCTAAGAAAGGCAAAGACAGTCCTCGCTGCAGGCTCACAAGCAAGTTAAGTCCTCTCCCAGAGCCTCATCTTCCTCCTCTGGAAAATGGGGATAATAATACAAGGTCTGTCAAAGGATTTAGATATCATTCTCTGCAAATAGCTTTTTACAGTGATGACCAGTCACACCCAAATGAGCCATTAGACTCCTTGTATTTATTCCACTACCATTTATTAAGAGTCTACTTCGAGCAAAACACTGGGTCGGCATTAGGGAGGAGCTAGGATCCTGGGACAGGAGGTCTCAAAACAAAACAACAAACAAAGTAGGTTTTGTCTTCAAGGAGCCTGCATTCTATCATAGGAAACAACATATATACGCAATATAATTATGTACAAAATAAAACAAAGTAGGGAGAAGTGTTAGCCTCAGGGGATCAGGAAAGGCCTCATATAGGAGGTGGTATCTGGACTGAGTTTTGAAGGAAAATAGTAAGAGGTGGAGGGGAGGAAGGAGTGAATTTTAGCATGAGGGACAGATAGACTGGGAAAAGATACAAAGATGGGAGACAGAAAGTTGTTTGTAAGGATCCACAAGAAATATAGTTTAGCTAAACTATATGTGAAGGGGAGTGATGTAGAATAAGGAAGGAAAGGTAGGTTGGAGGCAACATTGTAAAGGACTCCTGAAACTATGCCTGTCATGACCTGTGCCAGAGCTCAAAAACCCTAGAAAACTCTCCTAAAAGCAAACAGCAATCTCCCTACTTGGTATGAAGCTAAGTGCCTGTCATTCAGGGAAGCCATAGATAGGATGTCCAGAATGGGTGGGACGGTGCTCTAGATGACCCCTAAGGATATTCCTTCCAACTCTAAAATTCTCCCAATGATTTTTCTGATTAAAAAAAAAATGGAGCATTTCAGAGAGACAAGTGGCTTAGTTCCAAGGGTCTTCCCCTTAGCTTCCAGCTGGCTGTGTAATCAACAGGGCAAGTTCAGTGCACAGGGCCTGGGGCAAATCCCTACATGTCCCTGACTCCACTTTCTGTCTGAGCTTGCTAGTGTAGGGTTTTCTCTGGAAGGACATTGAACGATTACTCACTTTCTGGCATGGGCTTCTAAAAAATCGGCACCTTCTTCATCCACTCAGCAAAAGGCCCATAAAATGTTTGCCAGGACGACAGATCAACAATCTGCTTGGAAACAGGCAATATCTGTTCAGTCTGAGTTGGATCGTTGGGGAAAGATAATGGCAGTAAGAGACGTCTGCCTGACCCAGGAAGGCCCTGGCTTCGACTCAGTGAGGGTTGCTGGTTATGGTGCTGTCTGTGTTCGCTTTAGGAAATCACTTGCCTGCCTTTATTGACCTGGGGTATAAAGAATGGTGGCATCTCTTGTGAACTGGGAGCTGGGGGTTAGTAGGAAAGGTTCACTTTCTTGCCTTTGCTCACGCCATGGCTCCCATGTGGGGAATGGACTATTTCTTTTCATTTCCCCATTTCTGTTGACATGCCTTGCTTCCTTCAAGTCTTGACCATGGGAAAGTAGAGGGAGTGATGGACCTAGAATCCAAAAAGGCTCAGTTCTAATGGTCCCTCAGATGAGTAAGAGCTGAGTACCACAGACAAGTCATTTCACTCAGTGTTTTGGTTTCTTCATCTGTAAAATAAGGGGGTTGGCTATGATGACCTCTGAGGTCCTTTCTATCTCTAAAAGCTATGATCGTGCTTGTATAATTGTATAAATGAAACCTTCTCGGATCTGACTTCCCCTGCTCTGCCCTGCCCTAACTTCAGGTGAAAGTTATCTCCTTTCTCAGATGTTTCATAATACATTAGCTAGAACTCTTTGTGATGACCTTATTCTCTCTTGTATTATAATTATTTGTGCATTTGTTCTCCCACTCACTTTAAATTATAAGTTCTTAAAGAGCAGATCCTATGATATAGATATATAGGGACATATATGTATGTATAGAGACATATATACATGTATATATGCATGTACATGTGTCACACCACATATATGCACACACATATACATCCATAGATACCTACCCATACCCACATCTCTCTAGTGCTTAGAACAAAGCTTTGTACATCTTAAGGTACCTAATATTTCCCAAACTGAATTGAATTGCTCTTTCTGAATAAAACCTGTGTTTATGGTCTGGAGTGTGTGGGGACAGGGAGGTAGTTGCCAGACAGTGATACCTGGATTTGTGGCAGGGGCAGAGGAAGGGAGATGGGTTTAGTGTCTTGAGTTAGGGTATAGGGATTTGAGAAGTTTTAGTAAAGTGAGGCTAAAGCTAAGTCCCCTGGACTAGCCCCAACCTATCAATCAATCAATCCTCAAGCCTTTATTAAGTATATAACCTGCCCAAGTACTGTGCTGGAGTACAAAGAAAAAGCAAAAACAGCCCCTGCCCTCAAAGAGCTTACATTTTAACAAATGCAATAAGAGAAGGTGGTGTTCAGAGGAGCTGACTACAGGTCATAGATGAAAAGATCATAGATTTAGGGTTGGAAGGAGTCTTTGAGGCCCTCTAGTTCACACACACACCCATTTTACAGATAAGGAAACTGAGAGCCAAAGGGGTTAAGTGACTTATCCAAGGTCACATATATAAAAATGGAAGAATCAGGATCTGAACCCAGATGCTCTGAATCCAAATCTATTATTCTTTCCACTGTATCATGTTAGATTATGAGCTGCCATCCAGGACTGAATCCTGGTATGCAATAGGGGAAGGCCACAACTCACCCAGTGGTAGTCCTCATTCTCCTCTGATGGGATGTGTAAGTCTTCTTACTTTAAATGCAGTGGTTTGTCTAGTGGATGTGACAGAATATGGTTTATCTTCCTTTCCTGTCCCCAATAGGTACAATTAAGGTAGAACATCGGCTCCTGGAGCCTGGCTTTCTGAAAAAAGGTTGAATATTAGTTTTGTTTCAACAGTTTGGACCTGGACCTGGAGCTCAGTCATACAACAATCATTTGGAAAGAATAGAGATCATAGGTTTGGATTTGGAAGGGACTTTAGAGGTCATTTAATGCAGTCCTCTCATTTTACAAAGAAACAGGTCCAAGGCCCAAGGTCAAGAAGGTACTAAGTTGGAAAGCCAGGATGTGTACCTGGATCTTTTGATACCAGACCCATCACTCATGGTGGATAGTATGATATTCATTGCCCCATACTGCTTCCACAGCCTTTTACATAGGGATGTGTTGATAAATGTTTAACAGCTTGTTCTCTGGGAAGAAAAATGTACACAGAACATCCTTTTAAGTCTATTATTAACATTTTCCTCATCACTTTCATAAGTCTGTTGCTGTTCAGTTGTTTTCAGTTCTGTCCAACTCTTTGTGACCCCATATGGGGTTTTCTTGGCAAAGATACTGGAGTGGTTTGCCATTTTTCTTTTCCAGCACATTTTACAGATGAAGAAACTGAGGCAAACAGGGTTAAATAACTCGCCCAGGATGGCACAGTTAGTAAGAGTCTGAGGCCAGATTTGAGGCCAGATAACTCTTCCTGACTCCAGGCCCAGCACTCTATCCACTGCACTGCCTAACTGCCCTCTTATAAGTCTAGAAATCAACAAAAAATCAAATCAGGTCCTAATTTGGAGCATTTGCCAATTTCTGATGCATTGCTACTCACAATGAAAATTTAACAATTGGCTCCCAGGGACCAGTAGAGTTGGCTCCTGCATTCCCTGCTTCCAAAGCTCGTCACACTTTGTTTCTCCTCTGTCCATATTACTGCGGTCTCTCAGTGGTTGACTGAACCACAGGAGGTCGCAGGATTGAAAACCGTCAGCAGATTTGAAATTTTAATTTTAAAAATTTAAGTTTGAAACTTTAAGATAAAGCGTTATTTGGCTCAGGGATCTGAGAAATTGTCCTCCCACTATCATTTTTGTATATATTCAATGTAGAATATAGAATTTTAGAACTGTAAGAAGTTGAGAGGCTGTCTAGCCTAACGTCCTCATTTTACAGTTGAAGAAACTGAGGCCAACAGAGGGCAGGTGACTTGCCCATCATTATAAAACTGTGGTTTCCACTACAACACACTGTTCCTTATATAATGATCTTGTTTATCAGAATGAATCATTTCCATTCTGTTTGTTTTATTATCGAGCATACCCCAGGCCTGGGAACCATGAAGAATAAACCACTATGCATTTCCTGTGTAACGTGTGATAACGTCATCCTAGGGACGACAGGACCTCTTGACCAAGGTTCCTAACCTCTCTGGTGTCGTGGACCTCTTCATCAGTCTGGCGAAGCCGATGATCCCCTTCTCAGATGAAAGCTTTAAATGTTTAAAATAAAATCTGTAAGTTGCAAGGTTTGTTGTAAAAATCAATAGTTTTTATTATTTAACAAAATAAATGCTTGTTGCCAGCCTGCTGCCTGCCCCCCCCCCAATAAAATAAAATAGATAGGATTATGGAGGAAACCTATTATTTTGAAATAAAGATGTATTTTTTCCCATCCAAGTTCATAGACTCCCCTGAAGCCCACCCGTGGGCCCCTTAAGGAGGTCTTGGACCCCGGGTTAAGAACCCCTGTTCTAGACTATGACTGAAGGTGTTTCCATAGGAGAAGATGTCACCAGGAATGTATGGATGCACCAACAGAGAAGAGGAAGAGCTAGGCCCACTTCAGGCTACTAATTTTTCCTTCTGTCCATTTTCTGAGTGTTGTCCGCTATAGCTTTCCAGCAGCACCAAAATCCCTGAGAAACAAAACAAAACAAAATAAAACCTCCTTCCTGCAGCCCAGCTTCTCATGTGTGGGCAGCCTCCTTGTACATCAATAAATCACTAGCAGCTGGGGTGGGGGGGGGAGAGTGGGGAGACCCTGTTCCCTACTGCTTCCTGAAATTAAAAATGACCTGCTCACCTCTGATAATGACTGTCATATATTAACTGGGCTCCTCCCAGCCTCTGTTCCAACCCGGCTCCTTTCATCAGGGGGTCTGGGAGAAATCTCGGGCTGTGGAAGCTGTTTATTTAGAGTTTGCTGTGGCTTTCCTTCTCCCTTAGGGACCAAGTCACAGCTTCTGGAAGTAAGGAAAGAAAGGACATCACATAAACATCTCCTCTCACCCTCTCTCTTTCGCTCCCTCCCTCCCCCCCCCTCTCTCTCTCTCTCTCTCTCTCTCTCTCTCTCTTTCTCTCTCTCTTTCTCTCTCTCTCTCTAACTCTCTTTCTCTCTCTCTTTCTCTCTCTCTCTCTCTCTTTCTCTCTCTCTCTTTGTCTCTCACCGATTTCCTCCCATTGCTACTTGTGGAGGCCTTAGGTCCACCATCACATCATCCCTTTTTAATTTAACATGAATAAATTAATCACCCAGGTGTTCATCCTGTGTCTCCTTGCCTGTAAACAACCAGGCATGGTTCCTTGTTTGCGCAATCCTCCCCCCACCTTTCATCAGCAACAAGGATTGGATGACAAAGAGGAACAGACAAGTTTGGGGTTCCTGACTCTTCCACGCAACCTAGCCCATGATAGCCACGTGGCACACACTCAATAAATACCAACTGGGTTGGCTTATTCTCCCATTCAGCATCCTCAGGGCTCTCTCTGACAGATAGGCCTCAGGGTTCTCGATTCTCTTTACTTCCTGGAATGCAATTTTCCTACTTTCCTATCTCCCAATCTCATGCTCCCTGGGGCCTCCAACCTCCCTCCCTAATGCATGTAGCAAAAAAGATGAGATCAGAGATCGTGGGATCTTTCTAACATAGCCTTTGTATGCTCCCTGGCAACTAGTATGTAGCAAGAGTACTATTTTCTAAAGCTACTGGGGGCCAAGGAAGGGGAGGAAAGTCATCCTTTTTCCAGGGCAGATTTGATCTTATCTATTCAAACCAGAAGCCTTTGAGACCAGCCATAGTCTCATGACATGAAGTTGCAGGCCAAAAGAAGGAAAAATGGGTCCCAAAGAAAAATTCCTGGTGAAACACACATTTCAGGGTTAACTGTCCATGGGTATATTGGTCCCCTTGGGTATGGGCAGGCCTACCTAGGCAGTAGATAAAGATTAGCCTGCCTATCTTAAAGCCTTTGCTGTTTGATTTCAAAGCCGGTTGCCACCTGGCACCCAGCATTCTAGAGGTCACTCCTCCAGTCCAAGAGAGCTGGTTGTTAAATTTTCAGTGTGAGCTTTTATGCCTCTGAAATCAGCAAACACTGTATAAATCAGGACTTGATTTACTGTTTACTTAATTGTCCAGACTTAAGAGAGTGTTAGAAGAAACATTGACAATGAGTGCTAAACTTTAAAGTGCATACATTTTAAAAAAAAAAAACAAGTCAGTTGTTAAATATTTGCCATCACATTCTTGTCCTTACAATAACCTCCCTGCCAGTAGTTTGCACCTAGTACCCACTGCATGCCAGCATACCACCACTTTCATCACACACACACACACACACACACACACACACACACACACTCACTCATTCACACCTAACAGTCCCAGTTGGCAGTCCTACCAGCAGAAGTAGCTGCTCCTCAAGAAAATGTGGGGAGTTATCTCCTTTACACACAGCTGCCAAAGTGATAAGGAGGCAGTTGGCTTTGGATCCAGAGGACCTGGGTTCCAATCTCAGTTCTGGTGCCTATTTCCTGTATGAATTTGGACAAATTTAACTCCCCTGAGCCTTAGTTTCCTCTTCTGTAAAATAAAGGGGTGGGGAGAGGCACTGGACAAGCTGCCCTCTTTCTAGGTCTTTAAGACCAAAAGCATAGATCTGACCATGCAACACTCTATACTCAACATGCTCAGTACCTCCCTTGGCGCTGGAAAGCCTATGTGTTAGGCACACATACAAAGGCACAAATACATTTTTTGTCCTCGAAGAGACTCCATTCTAGGGGAAGAGACAACACTTAAATAACCATATACACACAAGATAAATAAATGGAAAGTGATCTCAGAGGGAAGGTGATGGCAGCGGGGTTGACTAGGGAAGCCTGCAGAAAGTGGAATTTGAGCTGTCTTGTAGGAAGCTAGGGAAGCTGGGAGTCAGAGTCAAAGAGGGAAAACCGCCAGCCATATGGGATAGCCAGAGGTAGGAGATGAGGTATTGTAGGAAGTGGGCCCCCTAAGATCAACTGCAAACTCTTCTGGTGGTCATTCAAAGCTCTCACAACCAGTCTCCAGTTGCCTTACACACTGAACCCTTCATGATTTCTTCAGTCCAGACAATGTCTTTCCTACTCATCCTCACACATGACATTCCAGCCTCCATTTCCAAGCTTCTACACAGATTGTCCCTCATTCCTGGAACTCACTCCTTCCTCTCTCCCAGTTCTTTGAATCCTTAGCTTCCTTCAAAGCTCCCCCCAGGCACCACCTCTTGGATGAAGCTTTCCTGACCTCCCCAGGGTTGGCAAAAATCCGTTGTACAGGGAAGATGATGAAAAGAAGTAGGGAGAAAGAAGGAATAACACTTCTAGACCTCACACTATAATATAAAACAGCAGTCATCAAAACTATCTGTATTGGTTAAGAAGAGCAGCTAGGTGTGCAGTAAATAGAGTAAGGGACCTGGAGTCAGGAAGACCCAACTTCATGAGTTCAAATCTGGCCTCACACATTTACTAGCCATGTAACCCTAGGCAAGTCCCTTAACCCTATTTGTCTCAGTTGCCTCATCTGTAAAATGAATTGGAGAAGGAAATGGCAAACTACTCCTGTATCTTTGCTAAGAAAATCCCAAACAGGATCATGAAGAGTTGGACATGACTAAAAACGACTAAACAACGATAACAACAGTTAAAAAATAGAGAGACAGAAAAATGGAATAGAGTAAACAAGGGAGAACCAGAATCAATGAAACTTAGTAACCTCGTATTTGGTAAAGTAGAAAACATAAATTACATAGGAAAAAAGGACCTCCTTATTTAATTTAAAAAAATACTGCTGGGAAAACTAGAAAGAAGTCTGGTAGAAATTAGACTTAGAATACCACCTTACACCATATTCTATTTTGGAAAGCAATTTGGAATCATGCAAATAAAGTGACTACAATGTCCACACCCTTTGAACCAGAGACTCTTTTAGTGGGCTTATACTCTAAGGAAGTCATCAATAAGGAGAAAGGCCCCATAAGCTCCAAAATATTTATATCAGCACCTTTTGTATTAGCTAATTTTTAGAAACAAAATAGATGTCTATCAATAGAGGAATGACTAAACAAATTGTGGTACATTAATATGATGGAATATTATGGTGCTTTAAGAAATTATATGTGTCATGAATACAGAAAAGCATAGAAAGCATATATATGAACTGATACAGAGTGAAGTAAGCAGAACCAGGAAAACAGTATGTGTAGTACCTGCAACAGTATCAATGGAAAGAATGACACACCCAAAAAAAATGAAAATTAAGTGTAATGAAAGTGCAAAGATAGAACAGGGTTCAAATGAAGAGACAAAAGAGGATGCTCCCAACCCAGCCCTTCACAGAGGTGGGAGATCCACAGGTGTTACACATTGAACACGTCTTTGTGCTTTTTCAATGCGTCAAAGGCAGAATTTGAATCCAAGTCTTTTTGGTACCAAGACCAGTATGTTCTTCATTACACTATACAGTATCCCTCTTAATGAATTCTGTTTTGTAATTGATAACTTCTCAGGTCACAGCAAAGGGCAATAGAGGTTATAGTAGAGATGATTAGTCCAAGATCCTCACAGCTAGGTGGTGCAATGGATAGAGTCAGAGAGACCCGAGTTCAAATCCAGCCTCAGTCTCTTACTAGCTGTGTGAACCTGGGCAAGACACTTAACCTCGGTCTCCCTCAGTGTCCTCAACTATAAACTGTAGAATATACTAATACCACTCTTCCCAGGATCGTTGTGAAGATCAAATGAGGTAATATTTGTACATAGTAGACAATAAATGCTTGTTCCCTTACTTCCTATAAAGGAATATTAAAAATAATGGAAAAGAAAAATGAATTACATTAATAGGTAGGCAAGATCTGTTTTGGCTGTCCTGAATGAGAACATATCTGCTCCCCTTAGAGGATAGCAAAGATGACTTAGGGGAGAAACCACAGAGGCAAATGGCTTCTCTCCAGCGTCATTGAAGCATCTGGTTTTGGCTCTGCCACGGGGTTACAGTTCCAAGGCTGCCTCCTAAGAATGGTCTAGCCCTAGGGGCAATGGTGGTTGGTGGTTGGTGAGGGAACGTGCAATTTTCTTGGTTAGGACAGAGGAAGCAGCAAAGTGAGGCCTGAATGAAAATCTAGTTCTGTCTGGTTTCAATTCTGCCCAGCTATGTTTTAAAAGAAAGAGCATTAGACTGAAAGTCTGGTGACCCAATGCTGAGCACAGTGCCTGGCATGTAGTAGGCACTTAACAAATGTTGATTGATGTGACTTTGGGCAAGTCACTTCATTTCTGGAGGTTTCAGTTACTTCATTTGGTCAATTTCCTGATCTCCAAAGTCCCTTCCTAGCTTAATGATAGAAAAGTATGGTGTAGGAGACTGTGATAGAATTGAGTCAGGAGATCTCGGTTCAAATTCTACCCCAGACACTTATCTAGTATGTTACCCTGAGTAAATCATTCAACCTCTTTTTTCTCATTTGTACAATGGGAGATAATCATACTTAATAGTACCTTTTAGGGTTGTTGCAAGCAAAGGGCTTTATATCCTTTAAATGCTGTGAAAGTGTAAGTTTTAATAAACCAAAACACAAAATCTAACCAAAAATAAACCAAAACAGTCCTTTCTCTCAAGGAACTCACATTCTATTAAAGGAAACAACATGGACACAGTCTCATGGAGTGGGAATTTTGTTATATGAAGGGACCTTTGTTAACAGAACAGGGAATCCAGAGGACACAGTGAAACTGTAGGGAAAAGCGGTACAGGGACACAAGGGGATGGAGCTAACATATGATACATACTATATATATATATATATATACACACACATATGTATGTATGTATGTGTATGTATGTATATATGTGTATGTATGTATATATGTATATGTATGTATACATGTATAGGTATGTATATGCATGTGTGTATATGCATA